ATCTGGTGATAATATGTAATAAAAGCAGAAATTTGGAACTGATAGCTCTAGTGTTAAAACAAGAACTCTGTACATACGCTATCCTCAGGGAAGCTCCCTTCACTTCATATATCCATGTTTTCCCTTCTTCTGTCAAAACTGGAATTGATGAAAGGCAACTGAGAGTGCTTTGCACCACAGCAGTCTTTCAGCATTCTGCAAGATTCAGTCCAAAGTGAAAAAAATACTTATTTTTTCCTGGAATAAGCTGGTTGAAGATTGAATATGAAAGAAAAGGCAGTAAGTCTCTAAGATGATGAAAGGAAACATGTATTTGTGTGGTTCAACACCTCCCAATTAGTTTTATAATATTTATACTATGCCCAAAATATTGCCTTTAGTTTTTTAAGTGGATGCATAAATTAAGTTTTTTTTTCTTTGAATAAGAACAAGATATGAAAATTAAACAGAAATTTTCCAATCTAGATGACTAGCTGACTGAAAGCTAAATAGATTTTTAAAAATGCAGGTTGGCTGGCTGTTCCTCATTTAGTGCCATATAAGTAAATCTATCTTCAGAAAAATCCCCATTTGATGGAAGTAAGCCTTTTAAGAATGAGCACATTTTCAYAGAATAATTTTCCCATTAAAAAACAAACAAAAAAAAAAACCCAAAAATTCACAAATCTGGCTTTCCCAATAAAAGTTTTGAAAACAGCAGCATATTTTCCCRTCAATTCTTTTTATAACCAGTATAAAAATGTACTATAAAAAGGTTAATTTGGTCATGAAGTACTTCATACATGGCATAGAGACATCATGCATCTGGAACACGAGTTTATTCGCACATGCAATTGAAATACTCAGTGCCAATATAAGAAACAGCATTTTAAGTAATGTCTGTGACGCTCYGCAAGATATCAAGAAGTGGGGCTATGCTGCCATCAAGTGGACATTTGCTGAATTTTAAATTTCTTCCAGGAGTGATAAAAGATAACTAACACAGTTTCAGGACTGGAATAAAGACTTTGGAGGTTCTCAGCTCTGCATTGACTCAGCTGATGTCTGCAGTCTCACACTGATAAACTCTGCATTAACAGTGTACCAAGACAGATTTACCAGCAAAACTCTGGGAACTTCTAGTCATTCTAATAACAAGTGAAAAATCCATGTGTGATACACTCTTCACAGCTATAACCATATGATATTTAAAATCTCCAGTTATAGGGGAATCCTGGCAGCCTCAGGGTTAGTGGAAGAATCTCGGGGTCCTTTCAAAGTTCACATGAGGATCTGGCTCTAAGGAACCTAGTTCTTACAATGACACAAAAACATTATTCAAAATCTACAAGCAGACAGAAAGCCATGAAAACCAAACCAAACAAACCAAAAGATTCAGAACTGCAGTCTAGAAGTTCAGTTATGGTCCAAAAATTTAGTCGTCATGAGCATCCATTTAGTCATCATGAGCTCCATACAATTTCTGGCTCAAAAGGCAGACTCACATCACTTTCTACAGTTGTACTGCAAAGCTTAGCAAACTCCTGTCTTTATAGACAGTTCCCAATGGAAAAATAAAAAATAAAATAAAATAAAAAAAAAAAAAAGCCAGTGCAGCTCATTGAGATATTCTAATTCTCTTAACCTATGAAAGTTGCTTGATGACTACTGTTATTTTCCACATGACTTTAATGGAACAAATGAGCTTCACACTTTTTACAATGTTTATTTCTCAGACAAGATAAACTAGAACTTTTAAAACAACTATGGGAACAAAATTGAACTTTTGCCTTCATTCACAACACTGTTTTCTACATAGTCTAATGAAATATGTGGCCTAATTGCTATCACTTTTATCACAACACTCTCACTAAAAATCAATGCTTAAAAAACGTGCACACAGACAATACTCCCCTCTAGAGGCAGAAATAAAATTTGCAGCATTCAATACAAGAGTGTATCGTTTGTAAATCACACTTACAAAAAAAAAAAAGGAAAAAAAACTATGAAATGCAAGACAATTAGAATTATTAAATCATTCCCTACAAAGAACATTAATATCTATGAAATTTGTTTAAAGAGTGTGTTATGTTCTTATATTCAGGCAAATAAGTTTAATATTATGCATATATAGAGGCCTATTTTTTTTTACATTTCCCTAGCAAAATACACCCCAACAGCTTCTCTTGTAAAAGAGAAGCTTTTACAAGAAGCTTTTTTTGTTTTCTCTTTAGCACTACCAAATTCAAAATGCAAGGAATATTCTTTCCAGTTGCAAATAAACATATTTATAATAAAAGCACACGTACTGGCAAGTGCTAAACCTGGAAACTTATGCAGCTGATCTAACATGGTATATTTGGAAGCCAAACAAGAGAGAAAGTCACCACTGACTTTGCTGCTTTCCTCCTCTTCATTCAGAGAGCCAGATGCGAGGTTGCAAGAGCAATTCAGGCATCTCTGTCAATGACAGAGGGTCCTTCCACAGACTACTCCTACGTACAGGCTGGGAAACACACAATTCCTCCTTGGAAATGAGGGAAATAGAGAACTAAGAGAGGGCTGCCTTCAAATCACCGAACACTGGGAACCAAAGAGCCCTGCCAGGAGTTGCAGGAGACAACAGGCTAAGCCCAGTAGCATCAGCACCACAGTGAGAACTTCTCCCCTAAAAGGCCCTATGCTGTGTATCTTCTGGAGAAATACCACGCTAAGTCGTGCTGAAGAGCTGCTGCCCTCATCAGGAGTCCCACAGCGTACAGCAGCAGCTGGTGGAGGTTGAGTGCATGGCACAGCCCTCACCCACAGCTGGGAAGGGGAGCCCCAAGCCATCTTGCAGCAGGACTTTTCTCCCACTGCTGAAACGCCCATCGTGACACACTGGTGTCCCTAAAGTGGCCCAGCTCCTTACACGGTACCAACCAGCCTACGGACTTTGGTTTGAATAGAATAGCACGTGCACTTCTTACTAAAGTTATTATTTGCAATGGTGGAGAGCAAGATATTTTAAAAGCTTTGCACTCTGTTTCTTATCGCATACACCATGGCTGGTGGGAATTTATTTCCACACACATGCACACCCACACTCAGAAAAAAAAAAAAAAGAAAAAAAAAAAGCATCATGTTTTTTAGGTTAGAAAAGCGTCCTGCATCTTCCTGGCATACTGCAASAACATCAATCCAAACAGCCTTACCCTAAAGCTTTGACTGTTTCACTTCCATTCCTAAGGCCCATATTCACCCTACCTAACTTTTACAAGTCCTCCTGGGATATCAAGATAAGGCTGCTGCCCTCCTGCTCCCCAAGCTGTCATCCAGGCAATGTGTTCATGTTTCCTTTCTGAGAAAATGAGGGGAATAAAGAGAAGCAGGAAGATGAAGCAGTGGGAAGATGTCAAAGGCTGGGTCAAGGCCCCATTTTGCTCTGGCTGCATGTGCTGAGCAGGACATGGGTTTTTCCTCAGTATTCTTACAGCCTGTGGCACCTATTTTAGCAAGTCCACCRCAGTCACAGCAGAGGCACCTCCAAAGAGCACTTTGGATCCAAGGGCCTAGTTACCTCCTAGATTCACSTCGCTCCACTAGCCCCGGTGAGCCAGGTAGTTGTTGCCAAATGGCTCTGTGCCTCACTGCATTTCTTTGATGCTGCAAAACCCAGAGTTGCCACAAAAACAGCCTGCCAGCTGTGAATCCAGCACCCAGTGCAGTGCTTCCTTCCAGGCTGTTGGACTGATTTGGACTTTACTTACCCAAGTAATTTACACAAATAATGAGGAATCACTTCTGTAGCCGTCTCTGTAGCTGTGCTAKTGTGGTCCTAGCTCCAATGAGACTGGTTTTAAGGCCTGAGTTGCCAGTATTTTTGTGAAAGGCAGGTTTCTTTTCTGGTGCTTTTGACTTGCATTCCTCTAAGCACACACTACATCACCGCATCACTTCGGGACTTTATTGTTGCCGAGATCATTAACTCAGTGGCCTCGTTCTACCACGCTGCAGCTCTAGCGAGGAGTTCGCACTCCTGCTCGCTTGCTGCATGCTGGCTGTCACTTCTGGTGCAGGCAGCTCCCAGGCTCTGTGCCCCCTTGCTCTTATGGGGATTCCATGTCCAGCCCAGCTGAGCACAACAGAGCAAGTGCATGAAACACAGACACTTCACATCTAGCTTTAGGCTCCTAACTGCCTTACTGGGTCTCAGACATCGTTCTGCACTCATATACGATAGGCTTAGAATAACACTTCATTCCCCAGTGGGTTTTTCCTGTAATCTCATCTGAAGTGTTGTCCGTATGACTATGCTTTCAGAGAAAACCCTACTGAAGATATAAGGCAGTCTTAATTACTACAGCGTAATTACTTTCAATGAGTAAATCACCCRACACTGATGTGGGATTTGACCTGAGAAGAATTTCAGATAATCCTCTAACATCACCGATATTATATCTTATATCTAGGTTATGCAATGATGAGGCTYGACAGTATCCTCTAATCAGATGAGGAGCATGACCCTGAAGAATTCAGACACTGAGCTGCTTCTCTAACAGTATAACATGCCGGCTTTGTTTTCAGGAATGCACTTGCTAAAATAGCTTCAGCAGGCTGCTGGCTTATTTCATTTATCCCAGTGATGATTTGCCTATTAGTGAAATTGAAAAAAATTATAATACCCGTGTCAAGAGTTCAGGATGTACTGCCCCAGAACTAGCTATGAGTTTCTGGCCTTCAAGACAGCCCTCTTGCAATCAACGCTGCAGGTGCAAACACAAATAAGAGAGTACAGATCCTCATTAAAAAAAAAAAAAAAAAAAAAAAAAGCTGGACTGTATCATCAGATCTGTTGAGAATATGCCTTCCATTTAATCAAAGGAAATACTTAGGCACTGGCAGTATTCAGAAGCTACAAATTAATTGGTGCTTGTAGGCAGTGATTATGTTTTCCACTTTTCTTGGTATTCACACAAATGTGTGCATACTATGAAGCTAGCTGGGAAATCGTGTCCGAAGGAATCAGGGTGAGCAACTACCTCATGGTATAGAGCAGTGTGCCATCATCCTCGAGGCGCAGAAGCTTGTTTGGAGTTGTCATGTTGTGAGCAATAGACTTCTTGCCGTTGTGGAAGAAGGTGTCAGGGGTCCAGATCTTGCTGGCAAGCAGATTGTTGAGCGGCAGGCGCTGCATGGGTCCTTTGAATCGAAGCCTTTCGTCCTTCCAGCTTTGCCGGAAGAAAACGTCAATGGTGTATTCCTGGCAGCAAGAAGCAGATATATTATTGCAGGATCTGATCGGAAGCTGTGGTTCTGCAAAGGATTTTAGCAAGGAAATACAAGCAAGTTAGGAGTCATGGACAAGTGCTTACCATTTCTGTGTCTGACACRGGACCAAAACTGGTAACATAGATGTCTGTTTTCACCTGAGTTATTCTCTCTGTAATAAATACAGGCTCTGAGTTAGTAATTACACTAAAGCACACATACCTGTTCCTGATGTATTTCCCTCTTAACAGCTTTTGAATCCTCTAACATCCACCCACCCAAAATCCGAAATGAAGAAGGTGTTTGAGGAGGAATCAGATCCCAAATCAAATATCTACCTGTTTTGGAAGACAGACTATGCTCTCCTCCTATAGTCAGAGGAAATGAACAGACCCTTTTCAGGTGAATTTCTCAATACTTCTGACCAGTTTAGATGCCTAGTACAGGCTGAGATGAAGTGTACCTTAGAAGGGCCTATTTTATCTCCACTGACTTGGGTGATTTGCCCAATTGCAGACATCTATATTATAGACGTCTAAAGCTAGGTGAAATTAATTCTACCCTCAAGACTCTGAGTCTTTCTGGCATCCTTTCAAATCCAGGACTAATTTAATTTAAGGGCAGAATTTTCAGAAGTTTGTTACATAAGATAGGAGCATCGAGCCCTATTTTCAAGCATCTCTGAGTAAAGTGAGAGGAGCAGGAGAGAAAGCACTGAAAGCAATGTGTTGGTCTCACAAGATGAAGGGGTGGGGGTAGCCAGAATAAAAAAGGKCCAGGAAGAACATAACAGATGGTTTACACATGGGAAGAAGATGAGAGAAATCTGGAGGAAAGAGAACTGAGGAAGGGCTCAACAAGGTTAGAATGGCAAGTAACTATTCACATGTTACGCTTCAAAAATAGCTGCTATAGAGGTTATTTAAATGACGTATCAATACAGAGTCACTGCAGCTATCCAAATATGGATGGTTTGGGGTTCTTTTAACAATAGATTTTTTTGTTGCTGGCATCGTTTCATACATGCKGACTGGCAGGGAACCTTAAGGTAACCTGCAAGCACCCTGCCTGGCTCACCTTGAAAGAAAAGAGTACAAAACAACATCAGCAAAAAAGTCAGCTGCATTCAGTTACAGCAGACATGTATCACGCAAGCCTAATCCAACCTCATAYGACTTCACTGAGTGACAAAAATCTCCAGGAATCTTTGTACCTGTTTGCAAGGAGACGCTATATTCTGCTCTACATTTAGCTAATTAAACACCTCTCTCTCATCAGGCCCTGTCCCAAAGGCAGGTAGCCACACAGGAGGGCATCAAGAGAGGATGTTCTAAAACATCCTATCAGCACAACCAAAGTGTTGTTCTACCTCCCAGTCCCGGGCGCAGCCGGTTGTCGTAGCCGTCCAGCAGGCCGTCCAAGATCCTGGTGAATATGGTGATGTTATCATTGGTGTCCTCCTTCGCCGGAGCTGTTGGCATTTGCGAGAAGCTGTTTTATACAAATAAAAGGAAACACGTCAAAGGCTGTGCCTGTCTCAAGAGGCTTCCTCTGGGCACTGTAGTTTGCAGGAAACTTCATCTCTGAGACCCTGCTCTCTCCCCTGCCTGCTCAGGGGCTCATAGGTGACATGGTCCTGGTGCCCCTACTTCCCTGGTGCTGGCTCTTGCACGTGTCTGTCCCTTTCAGGGACCAAATTCAGCCCCCAAAGCTAGCAGAAGTTCTGTATTTTATTATTATCSTTATTATTTCTCAGGTTAGCTCCCCAGTCATTGCAAATTTCATCAGCTCACAAAGAGGCTCTTCMAGCAACACGGTTTTGCCTACAGAGGCATCTCCAGGCCAGCCTGAAGGTGGCCCTTTAATCCTTACATGCCACATAAGTTCTCATTTCCACAGTTTATGTAATTCCTTCTCACAATGGACTCTGTGCTGATGGACTCTAATTTCATTCGAGGGTAAAGAACTCTCATTGCATCTAAATGTTCCACCATGGATCATGGTGATACCTGAAAAGAATATTGCAGTACCAAAAATACAGTCCTTCATCCTTCCTTCCTTTTCTTCATAAACTACCCTTCCCTCACGGTACAAAAATAACAACAATGTGTAGAAGACTTAATTCTGTATCTTTTGGGCCAAGTCTGTTTTCACCCTTTGCTCGGTGTGAACACTTCTTTAATTTCAGTGATATGTATATAAGTATTTCAGACATGGTCCTTTAAGCAAGCAAAACATCCCAGGTTTGTATGTATTTTTGCTTTTCTTTCCTTTTTTTTTTTTTTTTTTTTTTTTTGAAAAAAAATAACTTGTCTGCTCAGGTATCAGCATCAGCAAATCTGACCAACTTACGAGTTTGGCTTGCACAGAAAGTACCCACAATGATATTCCTGGTATCTGCAGTGATACAGCCCACAGCACAACCACAACTGGCATTTTTAGATCTATTTGATTTTTGTTTTCAGATGCTCATGAGAATCCCCTGCACACCAATGCCTTGGCTTACCTAAATAACAGACAGCAGTCACAAAAGTTTATCTACAAACACGCTTCATCCGCAGCCAGCAATGACTGTCTCTTGAGATAGCAAGTGCTTATTCAAATTTCAGCTTCTGCTGAAATTGCTAACCAATGCTGCAGCTGCGACGGAGGGCATGTTGCCCCACTAAGAGCCATATTCCCCACACACACCCTGCCAATACACAGAAGCTACTTGCACTCAGATGTCCTGAACTGGATATAAACCAGTAAACCAAAGATATATAAAGAAAAAAAACATATTTTCTTATTACTAATCTCCAATGAAGTAAACAAGTGCATAAATAGAGAATCTCAAAGCATTCTACAGGCATTCTACAGGCAAGCATCCTGCTTGCCTTGCAGGATGCTTTTAAAACACAGAGCAGGATTTACAAAAAGAAAGACAAGGGACCTCTATTTGATTTTACTTGTACAAGGTTTACACTGAATATGAGCTCCCTGACAACCCTGCAATCATCTGGGCACAGTCTGGAAGTTTTAGGGACACGAGACACGGTGCATCAGCAGCCAGGTCCCACCTCAGAGTCAAGCCCAGATTTAGGAACCCCCATCCTTGCTTCAGTTCCCCTTATAGTTTGTGCTTTTTTGCCAAGAAATAAAGGGTTTCAGAGCCTCTTAGGAAAGGCAGCAGGTCAGCACTGCGGGCACTGGGCCTGTGGGGATCCCCAAAATGCTGGAGTACAGGCAGGAGCTGGGCAGAGAGGAAACCTGGTAGCAGGAGTGATGCCATCGCTGCTGTGACACCTCTGCAAGTTGAAAATAGCAGAGCCCAAAAGCACTCAGGAGCTCCCCTTTGCTGCAGGCAGAGGCATACCTAACACTTTCACCTGTGTTTCATGCTATGCCATCTCTCCACGGTCTAAAGACTGAATAAACTCTTAATTTTCATTGCTGCAACCACAGTTCATAGCAGGTAACTGAGGTAGATGACATTACAGATTTGTTTGGCTAAGATAACATATAGTTAATCCAGGACATGCAAACTAATTGAAGAGCTCTCACTATCCATGCACACTGGACCATTCAGGAAAGCAGACTACATCCTTTTTTTTTTTTTTTTTTTGTCAAACATAATGAAACAGAGTCGCTGTGTTAGAGCTTTAGCTGCAAGCAGCAGCCTAATGAATATGGAGAGGRCACGTAAGTTACAGAGGTTCTTCCTATTCAGTGACAATAACTAATGTACTGGTAAAACCCTAGAACACTGCTTGCATTCTTTGTCATTTATTTTTAGCTTGTTTCCATAAAAGAAAACAGGCGTGCATCACGCAGCCTGCCTGTCCTACCCTATCAGCCTACGGACCCACTTCCACTCTCCAGCACATCTGACAGAGGCCGGGAGATCAAACTCTATTTCACTCTTTCAAGTTTCCTAAGGAGCGGCAGTTGGACAGGAGGAGAGCGACCCAAATTAGTGCCTCATTAAGTAAAAACGAGAGGTCAGCAGGCAGCTATTCCCCCTGGCCCGCCGACAGGGCCAGTCAGCACGCATGTGGCTCAAAGCCAGCCTCAGCAAAAGCAGCCCACCTCATCGACAGCAATTAGGGAAGGGGAAGAGGCTTTCCTATGCTTTTCCCAGCGTAGAAAAGCTGCTATGAGATACGGAATGCAGAGGCAAGATGCAGGTCCTACAAGGGACACGACTCCTAGGGATGCTATTAGGGAGCTGGAAGTATTGCAAGGGACAGTGTGGGGACAATATAGAGGTGTGGAAATCAAGCTTTGCTAGTTTCTCTGCTCTTGGAAAAGGCTTGTAATTTCTGTAAATAAGACTGAATTCAAAGCTAATTGTGCACAGAGGCAAGATTTCCACTGAGCTGCTTTTGTAGGGAAAGCACAGAATATGCCTAGTTCTCATAATCCTCTCCTGAATCCAGCAGGAGTTGCTTCTTGACTATATATGCCTTGCATAAAACCAGTGTACACACCTCACACACTTGCATATCTACAAGAAAGCCTAATTAACAGTTTAAAATAAAAAAGAAAAAAAGAAAAGAAAAAGGATAGAGAAATGACTTAGGATGAAGCATCACAGAAAATCTGCACTTCATCTGTACAGCAGCAATCCAATTCAGATTTGGCAGATCACTCAAAAAGAAGTCATCTGATGCTGAATTACAGAGAAATGTCAGTATTACTCAAGTTGCATTTGTAGATGGATCACTGTTTGTCACTAGTGCAAACTTATTTTCCACAGAAAAATAAGCATTTGGTTTATATTTTTGAGATTTCTTATAAAATAGCAATTCATATTTTGGACTAAGTGCTGAAGTTTTCTTTTATGACATAGGAACATTAAATACATTACATGTATTTTTGTTTATTAGATATTATAGCTTTATGAATAGTTATAAAACAGTGATATCCTCAATTAATTATTGCCTATTGATTAATTACTGACTATTGTCAATCAGCCGCCAAAGCTGTTTTGTGTTTTCCCAGTTATTTTGTTTGGCASTCCTGGAATAAAAATAAATAAAGTAAAAGAAAAACGTTACAAGATGCAAAAAAAAAACAAAGATAATTAAATTAAAAGGTTATAATAAAAATAAACTAAAGCAACAAGGAACACTTTTATTTAATAGTGCAATTTCTGGATGACTGTAAAAACAGAAGCCACAAAAAGTGTGATCAGTGTAATATCAGGTAACTCCCTAAAGATGCTCTGTTCCATTTTCCGATGATTTCATCATTTACCATGTTAAACATCACTGCCTTTAGTACCATTTAGTCAGACTCTTGACAGATACTATTCATAGCTTAGCTGCATTAAGAGCAAAATGTATTCGTAGATATTTCATGATTTTCCCCCAAACTTTGAAACATAAAGGGAAGTTAGATGCTGGAAGATAACTGGGAAATACTTCGCAATGGAAGAAGTTGCATTTTTTCCTCTGTCTCTTAAGAGTAGAGTTTCCAACAACTTCCTTTAAAAGGATCAGAATTAAACCAAAACACTTAGACAAATTAATAGTTTGTGAGGAAGACAGTCGAGAATGCTTTTACACACTCTTGTAACACTGTCACCTGGCCAGAAAACACAGGAAATGGCTACATTTTTTAAAGCGAACTTCTTACAAGYCCTTTCCTACTTATTCTTGATCTCTAAAACTTTTGATATTCTGTAAATCTGTGCAATGAAAATTTAATTCTTTCAAATCAGGTAAGAAGGATAGAGGAGAGGAYTGGCTTTGGAAGTATCAAACTCAAATGATCTTTGCAGATCTTTAAGAATAATCTCATTCTTTTATTTACCACGGGCAATATTTTGCTTCCTTCTGAAAATGAGSAATTTGTGATCAGTGGGCTAATTCTTCACGAGGTGATATCTCATAATTCTCATTCCCTGTACCTTACGATCCCTTTCTATGTCCTGAATTTCACAAGAGTTCCTGAGTGCTCCCAGTACCCTCAGCTCCTCCAGGTCCCTTACCTGGGACATTCACCAGCAGCAGCATGTGCTGCATCTGAGCCAGGCATGTAGAGAAGGAAAGACCATCAGGATATAAATAAATTAATAAATGGGGAAGCATAACTGAATATATGCTCATTGTCACAAAAAAAAAAAAAAAAAAAAAAAAAAAAGTCTAGAAATACTGGGAAGAACTCCCTAGCACCTGGCAGTAGTTGAAAGGGGATAATCCAGCAGAACTAACAGTCCAGGGTGGTAGAGGCTGACTTAAAATAAATTCCATGGTCTGAGGGAGAGGTATGTTTAACCTAAATAGCAGGATTATGCTCTTAATGACAGAGATTGCGAGTTAGTAGAAAAGTATGTGAAACTATATAGACACCCCCACAGACCAAATTCTTACAGTGTACAGAAAACCCTCATGTTGGCCAGAGCTAGAATTAAGTGGGATCTTCTGCTTTCCACGTTCCTACTATTCTATATGTTATTAGCAGATACTTGAGGGAAACATTTTATGGATGCTTCCCATTAAGACCTCTACTTATGTAAGCTGTGTTTAAAACCAATGACACCCGTCCCTACTAATTTGCGCTAGTCAATCTCAAATCTGGGGGCTCTACTCACTGAATTCAAAGGCAAGAAATCGGGATCTGTCTCATCTGTAAACATTCCTCTCTGTTGTATTTTGTTCTGAATGATTCTCTAGCACTGTTTAATTTCAGTACAATGGTGAACTATCTTGAAATACTTGAGTAAAATATCTTCACCCATAGCATTACACAATTCTAGGCTTAAATCAACTAAGYTTGAAAAAACTTTCACTTGTGCTGGATTGTTTATGCAGAATTAGGTTTGCAAAACCCTCACATGAGCTATCATGCAGGGTTCAAATACTGTTCTCCTTTGCTCTATACCTCTGAACTGCAATTCAAAGATTTTTTTTTTTAAAACAAGTTTTCCAACTACCCTTATAATCCTTCTCTGAAGCCTATTGATGTGGACAACTCTCAAGTCATTCCATATTTATGTTAACCATTAATCAGAGACTTTTGCTGAGATTTCTGAAGTAGCCTAGGAGACTGAGATGCATAATTTCTGTTTATTTTACTGCGCATTGTGCATCAAAATCCCCCAAAGTAGCTTTGACTATGCCAGCAAAAACCTGTATTTATGATTTAATATAAATAGGGAATGGTTGTTGAATATGAGACAAATCTCTGCCTTCATCTGTACCTCTACTAGTATTTTGCTTTTAAATACAAGCTCTTTCGACCAACCATTTTTATTTAGCACACTGCACAACATGCTGCAATGCAACTGCACATTCCAAACACGGATGAAGCTAATAAAAAAGAATCTGATGGCAACAGTAAATATAACCAGCACAGGACTTTGGATTGCAGCAGTTAGTGTACCAGGCTACATGTAAATTGTACCACTCTGTCCTCAGAGCCAGTCCCAAAGCACTTAGCAAATTACACTTAAACTGCTTCTGCCTCTGAAACGGGGAGGCTGGAACAGCCTCTGTCTTTTGAGCAGGGTCAAAATTCAGCCCCCAGGCAGCATGCGAATGTGCGGTGAATTGGAGCTGCTTATCTCTGCAGGCCCAGACTAAAATTACTAGATCAGAAATGGGGGGTCAGAGGGAGGAAGGTTACGTGATAATCCCATTTTCGTGCATAGAGGCTTTCTGACTAACTTACAGAAAAGAAGTGTCCTGCTTTCTCAAAACTGTCCTGTTCCAGGTATTGAATGTGCGGTCACGACTCCTACCTGGGACTTGGAGCCGCTATTCACTTTGTAGCAGAAACCAGGCAGTTAAACCCGCTCTTCAGCAGTTTTGCATATCAATGCCTCTGCCAGAATGAGTAACACACATCAAGAAACAGTGTCATCTGCTGAGCCCCACACTAAAAAGGGTGTGCAAAGCTACTGATGCTTGCTCCCTTTTGCAGGCTGCAGAGAACATCGGGAGAGTCTTAAGGTCACACTCCTGAGAGTTTCCTTCGGACAGCAATGATTTGGTAAAGCACTACCTTACCAAGACAAGCTAAAAACATGTCCCACTTTATCTAAGTCCTCTTCATTTCTATCATCCTGATCTCCTCTTTCAGGATCCAGTGAGAATTTTGCCTTGGACACCACAGAATGCAGTTTTTCCAAGACGACGCCTGCAGCTGCTTGGATTGTGCAGTCCCAGCTGTTCGCGCGCTGTGCTGTGGTCACACGTGTCTAGGCAGCTGTGCAAGGTGCACAGTGGAGACCCAACTCAGAGTTTTGCCTGCCCTATACACAGCCACCTCTCCAAGTTTGGTCTTTCTTCTAATTCTAACCCAGAAAGGATCACTTTGGTTGAAATAACAAACTGGCTACCTTTTAGTTCCCTGCTGTAGGAAGATAGAATGGGTTTATATGTGGGAAATAAAAAACAATTAGGGAAGTTTTTTTTTTTTTAGTGCAGCATAATCATAAATAATGCTCCCTTCCAGAAAGCAGAACCATCTTGCACTTGCAGGACCCTTGCTAAATAATATTTTATCAAGACTCATTTGCTTAGGCTGATTTTGCTGGGTTCATGAAATCTCTGGGATAAGGTAGAACATGTAAGTTGCTTTTTTCTCTTCTTTTTTTCAAAAGCTATATCAGACATATTTCTTCAACACAGCTTTAAGAATACTTGAAATGCCTCAGGAAAGCAACCAAAGGGAGAAAGAAAATAAAAAAAAAAAGGAAACAATTCTTTGTTATGTGCTTTGTGGAAATCAAATTTCCAAGCAGCCTTTCCGAGCAGTAAAGGCTCTCCCGTACTTATTAAGAAGGCTGTACCAGCTAGAGGTGCACTCTGAGCCCTGGGAGCCGAGTCGGGCTCTGCTGCCTGCAGCCCGCACTTGCCAGGTAAGGGGGAAGGTGACAACACTCCTCCTCGCAGCCACTGGCAGTAGTAAGCACCACAGCGCTGCACTTCGCAATGCTCAAGACCATAAACACATACTATATATATACTGAAATAGTGTATATATATAGGTATAAATATAGTATATGTATACAGTGTGCATATATATAAAAAACACATACTTTATATGTGTGAATACATTATATGTAGCATATATAGATACATATATATGTATGTGTGTATGTGTATAGCATATATATACTTTTTTTTATATAGCATACATCTGTGTGTGTATATATGTATCTATATATATATATAGATAGACACATACGCAAAAGCATCACCATCTGCAGGCCTGGCCTCTCCCAAAGCCCCCCTGCAAGAGCAACAAGGGACTAAAGGACCAACACGAGCTGGTTGAATCTGCATAGGGAAGATAACGCTCCCTTTCTCTCAGCATCAGGACACTGAGATCAAACACAAACCTACTTGTTTTGTTCTGCTCTTCTACATCACATGGAGCCAAAGCTTTTGGCTTCTCTCAAAAACCCACAGCAAGAAAAAAAAAGGTCAAACGCAATTGGCAACTTACCCAAAGTGACTGACTAAACTCATGGAAACGTAGAAGAGGAAGAAGTTTTTGATCATGATAAAGCCAGAGAACATCCCATTGTCCATTCCAGATCAGATTAATCGTGTAGGCAGTTGGCTTGGGAATGGTACTGCTGCACACTTCGTTCTTACGCTGCGACAGTGCAAAGAGAAAAATTATTACGCATCCAAAGCGCAGGATAGACGAGTTCAGCTACCACTGCATCTTTTGCTATCTATGTTTTTCACAAACTTATCTAGGCTTATGTAAACATCATCTGTTTATGTAAAATTGTATATCTTCAAGGACATGTTTTACCTTCTGCTGACAGCAAACTATAAAACGGGAAAAATTCTCTTTTAGTGGCCCACTTTGCCTTTCTATTTGTTCCTCAGGCAACTAAACAGAGAGCCATTCACTGCTTTCCAAATGCCAGTTTGGACCCTCTACCTATTCAACAACTTCCACACGCCTGCAAGCCCAGGGATGTGTGCAGCCTCCGCAGCCCTTCCTTCCATCACAATGTTTTTTTTCCTCCTTTAAACACTCAACTTCCCTTTCCAAAATCCCAGCTAAAATGCCAAGAAACACCTACAGCTTCTTGCAACTCAAGCTGCTGATACATGACTGAGTAAAAAAAAAAAAAAAAGGAGGAGGGGGGGAAGTGACCTTCCTTGCAAAGGCAACATAAACCTCATGCTATAGCGCGAAGAAGCACGAAGAACGACGGTAACAGAACCGCTCCAGGGACTGTCGCTCTTGGGGTACCTGCCTCAGCGGCCACATCGCCAGTTTCAGCACTGGGCGCTAACATTTTCCTTCGTGCCCATTTAAATAATAAATAAATAAATAAACAAACAAACAAATAAAGAACGGGGGGAGAGAAGATAAAACGGGGGGAGATACTGAGGATTCCCCTTGCTGTGGACACCCCACTCTGCCCTCCCTCCCTCCCATGGGTTGCGGGGGGGAAAAAGCCCCCAGCGGGGCCGCTCGCGTCTCCCGCCGCCCCCGCGCTGCCCCGCTCGCACCGCACCGCTCCGCTCCGCACCGCTCCGCTCCGCACCGCTCCGCGCACGGGGCGCCCCGGCGGCAGCGCCGGCGACCGCCGCCCGCTCCGCTCCCCGCGCGCCGGGGTCCGCGCAGACCCCGCTATTCCGCACCGCCCACGGGGCCCCCGCAAAGTTTTGCGCGTCCATGTGCGCGGCGCTGCGCGCAGCGCCTCCGGCCGCCGACCTCTCCGCCTTACCCGCCGCCCGCGGCGCGGAGCGCTGCCGAGGGAGAAGTTGCCGCTCGCGGCGGCGCGGAGCGGTGCGGAGCGATGCGGAGCG